TGCTGAACCACATTTAACTCAGTGAAAGAAAGAACACTCACTCCACAAATTATTTATTAGCATTACCCTACTATTAGAAACCTGAGAATGAGTCTAGTTCAGTACTAGTTCTCACCTGGCTTTGAGATAACTCATAAAAATGGAACTGTTTGCAAGTTTCTCTTAGTCTATTATAGCACCTTTCATCTCAAATCTAAACATTGCAGCATTTTTTTCTTCTACAGTTTTGATTATCTGTTTGGGTGCCATATTTAATAGGGAGAAGTATTTTTGTTCTGACAATACTATTTGAGCATTAAAAAGAAGATTTGCCCAAGTGTTCCTTCCTACAAAAAGATAGTAAGGTAGTTTTGATGAAACCAAGTTTGTTGGACCACACTTACTCTCCGGCTTATGTACAATCACCATTCAGGTTCTGCAACATCAACCAAAGGTCTATGACTACATTTAGAAAAGCAGCAGGGGCTTAGGTACTGTCACTGGAATCCAAAAAGCCTGTCTGTTACTTTCCTGTATGACTGAACTCCCACAGGAGGGTTCTGCAGTGCAAGTAATTAATTCTATTATTAACTGGTGGCTATTAACTTGAGTAGATGAATTAACAGGTTCAAAGTGCACGTTCACTGAGTATTATGCATGTACCCCTACATAACTTCCAGGCAGTATGAGGTGTACAGCTGCTCAAGTCCCTTCAGTATATCATACATCCACAGAAGAGATGCAAAGGAAAACTACATGTCAGATCTGCTGTAGCCCAAGAATCGAGGGGAGAGAAAAGGAAAAGACAAATTGTACTGAAGCATAAAACAATAAAACAGAAAGTAAGACTGACAGTATGGTATTTTGGGCAGTTGGTCTAAAAAATGTAAGCATTGCCTCAAGAAATACTGAAAATAGGAAAGCTCTGAAACTGTCTGAAGTGGAACAATGTTTGTGTTGGGTTTTTTTTAAATAACCACACACACATAAGCAGAAAAATCACACAGAATCACAGAATCTTAGGGGTTGGAAGGGTCCTCGAAAGATCATCTAGCCCAACCCCTCTGCCAGAGCAGGGTCACGTAGAGCACATCACACAGGAACGCATCCAGGCGGGTTTTGAATGTCTTCAGTGAAGGAGACTCCACGACCTCTGGGCAGCCTGTTCCTGTGCTCTGTCACTCTCACAGTAAAGAACTCTTACTGTGATCATTCGTAAAAATTGAGATTTGTTACTTCCGCTTGGAAATACATCCCTAGCATTACCACTTTGCATCAAATGATGCCCCACTTCCTGGGAGAACACCCATTCACTGAATGGATACAACACAGGAGCGACAGATGCTTTAGAGTCCTACTCTTTAGTGAACACTCATCTCACTAAGGCATTAACAACTGCTCAAGTTTTCCACTAGCGGTAGCAATTTCAGCTGAAAGGAAAGAATTTTGGCAAGATTTAGATAATACATCCAATGTGCTATTCAAGAGCTATTAACAGAGAAGAAGAGGAGTGCAATTAGCTTAGTCTCACAGAACAAACTCCATGTTTTGTGGTAGGAATGCTCCTAATCCAAGATGCTGATCTACCACAGGTCTAATAGAGCTGCATCTCCTTCCACCACGCAGTCACACAGAGGCCCAGAGAAGGGCATTTTTATTGCCAGCCCAGCACCTCCAGGTTTATATAACTAAATTGTAAGATATTTTAATGAGAATGATTTGAGTGGAATATGGGACAATGTTTATAATAAAAATCATTCACATTATTGCAAGCACTAGAAGTTTAGGTGTGTCTCTGCATCCAAAAAGCCAAAGTTAACTACCTCTAAGTAGTGAATACCTAAGGAGTTCTGCAATATGCAAGTCATATGATTTACATCTCCACACTGACCCCATCAGGATAAAAATTACATTTTCAAGCAGTGTACATGCAGAGCACTCTCCAGAAAAATGCTGATGTGGACAGACTCCATCTCAGTCGTATTGGAGAACACGCACCGCAAAATCACAACGAAGAAAGAGCCACTTTGGATTTAAGATGAGAATGAAATTAAAACTGATACCAATGCTGCAAATATATATTCCTACCTTACAGTGTATGTGTACTGAATTTCAATGTATCCTAAATCTAGCAAGTCTGTCAAGTCTCCACCTATGAAAATTTCTACTGACTTTTCAGTCCTTAAAACAGTGGCTTATAATGACAGATCTTAAATACAAACGGGCTTATGAAATAATACAAGGTCTGTAGTGTAACACGTAATAGTATAATGGTCATTATATGTAATAAAGACTTATTCAGTACTCTGTAAGACAAACAAAAAAAACCCCAACTGTTTCAGACACTTTGTGGTTTTGTTTCTTTTTCAAGAAAAAATAATTTAAAAAAGTGAAACCAACAGACAATGAGATATAAAAGTTTCCGTATTACAAACAGTTGTCAAAATTCTTCATGCATACACTCTATCTCACATCCTGAAGTTGTAAGGTGGCCTCATGATGTACAATCTTAAGTCTTCGGATAAGTACCTTCTTAAATTGCTAAGACAGAAAGGACTTGACTCCATTTATACATCCATACAGTGATTAAATGCACTTGTTAAAAAATAAAGGCCTTTATCCAAGAGAAAATGTAAGAAACATTACGTTGAGGAACACAGAGTTTTGCTGCAATAGCAAAGGGGATTGAGTGCCTTGAAGGCCGCCTTCTTGCCAGCAACAGGAGATGCTCTAACAGCTTGTCAAAGAAACAACAGTAACTCGTAGAAAGTCTAATGTAGTAAAAATAAAATACAGAGTTCAGAGATCTTTAGTGTTTGTGCATAACTTGCCACCCACTTGTCTCCCTGCAGACAGGGGGAAAGAGAGTTACATTTCAGTTTTCATACTCATTGACTTAGAAACAAAGTCAGTCAGGCTTCTTACAAGAATTCACACAGTGAAAAGTCCTTCCTCCAGAAATATACAGGATCACTCAACCCATTTTTGTTCTCATATACCATTTAAAAAACTATTAAAACTCTGATTTTTTTCAAGCAGCATATTTTGCATTTGTCACTGGCAGGTTTGCTGTAGAAATCCTAGAAAGTTAAACTTATATAATAGCATACAAAAACATGTAAACATATGGATATTTTTTTAAAGGCATGCATGCTTCTGAAGAGGTTTAAAAACTGTTTATTTCTGGTAAATAAAAGGTATCTTGCTTAGCATTTTTAAAAGCACCATAGCAATTTAGGACCCCGAGCCCAAATAACTTTTAATTCTATTTGGGCTCATAAACTTCTAAATCAACTCTGTAAAATTACTTAATTGCTTTGAAAATTGTTTGCCATGTCTCTGACCTTGCAGATTAGATTTTCTGCAACCAGCAGCTAACTTAGAATCTTGTCTACCTTGAGATAATATTCAAGAATCTCTCATTAGTGTAATTCAGTCATCAGCTGCAATTTTTTTGATTTTCCATAAATTAGTTTATGGTATCTATGAAAAATTTCTCCAATGGTGTCCTGTGACACCACACTGCAAGATCCTTCTTCATAGAAGACACAGGATACAACAATCAAGTTTGAATAGGAATATGATTAGATTGTATGTTCCTTCCGAATAGCTATCGGTGTCAAAGACTATGTTACTTGTTCAACTGGTTAAAACTGAGAAAAATTAACTTACAAAAATATCCATAGCACAGCATTAAGTAAAAAGAAGGAGCATTTTTGGCACCATATATTTTAAAATCTAAGCTTCTAGGACCAAAGTATAGCAAGTTAAACATACGCAGTGGCAGCTGTGAAGGTCTCATCGAAATGCAACATTTTAAAAGGAAAAATTTTTTGGAAGATGCTATTTTATCATCATTAGCTGATCCCCAAGTAACATGTACACTGGAATTTAGCCTATATATTCATACCAAATGTTTACATATATATCTTAGCACTCATACATAACACAAGTATATTGCGCCAACAGACCTACCAGAATCCATAATACTACAGTCAGGCATAAAATGTAGTGTCTTCTTTTTGTTCTTCATTTATCTTCTTAGTCTCATAACCAACTCTAACATTTTCTTTGAATTTCATTTATTTTAAATTTAGTTTCAAGGCTGCTACATTACCTTGGGACATAGTGTTATGGTCTGTACCTATAAGTATTGTAAGTATTATCTTTACATTAAATGTGCTTTGCAATTCAGCAACAGTTAGTTCATAGCTCTGTAAATAATTCCTTGGAAAAGGAGAAGCTTGCCTAATTTTTACAAAGTGCGGGGGGGCAGCCACGGTTCTGTGTTTCGCCACCAGGTGTCTCACGCTAAACACCAAAAACCACTGCATCAGCAAGTTTAATATGAATCCACCCTCTATCAAGGATCCCAAAGGCACAAGATTTGCTAAAGCACTGGTAAAAATACCTCTACAGCTGGCTTTGTTCTGTACTCAATTGCACAACTCCATCCAATACACTGGGTTGTTTTCTTCCCTCCAAAAGTGGTCTAAGGTATGCTGCAGCTGCTAAAAAGACTTCTGTTTTTCTTGGTCCTCTGTTTGTTTGGTCTAAGGTTGATGACATCTCCACCATTAAGAGTGTTAGAATTTTGGTTGGAGTAACCTCCACCAGGTGTATTAAAAACACCTGTAGAAATTAAAGACAAGAAAAGTATTTGTATTTCTTCACTTTCTGAAGCCCAATACATTAATAGTTAAGACACAACACTTGCTGAGGCATAGTAGTGTACCTCAAGTGCACACTCCAGTTTTTACAAGCTTTATCCATTTCTGGGTCAATTCTGCAGCTGAATTTGAAGTAGGGCCAGTTGGAATTAGTAGCAAGGCAATATCTGAAGCTGGTATATATCTATGTAATTGAAGGGCACATACGCACTCACCTGCGTATATAAGCGCTACTAATTGCATGGTAACAAAGTTATGGTTCATTAAGTAATATAATGAAAGCAAAACACGACAACTTTAACATTAGAACCTTTGCTGAGATAAAGGTAAGGAAAAAGCCTGAATAAAAAGGGAGTGCTTTAAGGAAAATAAATGAACTGACTCAGAAATGCTTTAAAGAAGGACTACAGAAGTTTCGTGTTCCTTTACAAAAGGCAGTTTACAAAGGCCTTCTGATTATTCACCAGATTCCTTCACCATGAGTCTCTTGTAAATCCGCACCAGGATGAGTAACACTAATACTAATTACATTAAAAAAACCCCAACAAGCATCCTCTCTCAAGTCCTTACACAATGTTTGTTTAAATGAATTTAATAAAAGGCCACTTGTGAAACGTTAGCAGGAAACTTTAGTACACCAGTTAGACAATCTTGCAACTTTAGAGTCATAAACTTATTTTACAGAAGGAAAGAAGACAATATCCTAAGATAAGAAAGTAATAATTAGATCCTGATTCACTCTGTATTAACTCCATAAGGAAACAGATGAGACCATAAGCTTTGATGGCACAAAATACTGTCTTCTGGTTTTTTTATTATAGTATACATACCAATCTTGTTACTGCTTGTATGGACTAGTTCTGGATCCTCAGAGGTTTGTTGCTTGAGCCTTTGAAGATATTTATCAGCCAAATACTTAAAAACTGGAACATTAAAAAGAAAAAATGTACATCAGAGTATGCTTAAAACTAACTTTTTAATCAACATTCTGTGTAGTGACAAAAGTGCGTTTGATACCACAGGTTTTGCATGATCTAGTTAAGTGATTCTCTCTCAGCAAGCCTGTGTACCTGAGCAGAATCCAAGTCTACCCAGGTCTTACAGGATACAGTAATAGGGTTCCCCACAGCAGACAGAAACATCTCAATACTCTCATAATAAAGCTGGCACTTACATATTGCCAAATGTTCCAATTCATGCAACTTGGAACATTTTTAAGCTATGTAGGAGTTTTTATATATATATATATATATAGCCAGAAGTCTTAGAGTAATAGCAGTCCTGTAAAGTAAGGCTATTAATAAAATATGGTAGCAACATTATTTTCATTAACTAATGCTACCCCCCATTTGTACTGAGGTATAAAAACTCTACCTAGCATTCTGAAAAAATCTACACCTATAAGAGAATTTTCAGAACCAATCTATGTTACATTTATTTACATCTGTAGTTAATAACACACGTAAAGATAACAGAGAAACATGTTACATTTTCTCTTGTAGGTGTTTTTTTCAAGGTGAAAGATGTTAGCAGAAGAGAAACAATTAGTTTAGTATTAAATTTGCCTGATAAAATGAGGCATAAGTTATTAGAGACTATAATTAATGGTTATTCAAACCTACTCCACAAAAGACAGTGCAGTGACTGAATTTTCTAACAGTACTCTTATGGAAGTAAACAGATAAATTAAAAAGTGATACTTGGAAACTAGTAACATATTATCAGTAGACAAAAGGCTGCAAGATATCCAATCTGTTAATGTACTGTACTTAATTACAACTAAACTATGAAGCAACTGTATCAATTATTAACTATTAGCAATTACAAAATAATCTGACCAACAATTTATATATTGTAATAATTTAACTTCTATGTAAAAATTTTTTAAAAGCTAAGAGCTTACTTACAGTCATTAGAACTAAACAGCCTTGATAGATTGGCACTTCTAAATACTGAAGCTATGCACTGTTTATGGAAGAGAAAGGAAAGATGTACACAAAGAAATGGGTCTGAAGCACTGATATAAAGTATTTATTTGTGTTTAAAGTGTGTTGCTAAGAAATAAAAAAACATGCAACAGCATGGGAAGTAACAGACCAGCTCCAAACTAGAGACATGTGCAGTGCTAAACAGCAGAGGACAGGACAGACACCTACTCTGCTGCACCTCCTACCTTCAGTTACATTTAGGTCTTCCTTCACAGATGCTCGGTAGAACCTTAATTTTAGCTTTTTTGCCAGTGCTTCTGCCTCTTCACTGCAAAACAGAATATGACTAATTTTATATTATTTGTCAACACTTGTTCTTACAAATAAAATGCCTTGCGGCAAGTTAAACACAGTAAGGTGGGTTAGGAAACTCAGTCAAAAAATATCTCATGCTTCAATTCTTTACAGTATCTCCACTATAACAGGAAGATATTTTACATCCACTTTATAAACAGAAGTAATTGCTTTTCAGTTTTATTAACTTCATTAACTAACATTTCCCAAGGGTTCAAGGACATGTGTCAGAGAAACTAAAAGGAAGGAGGCTGTAATTAACAGAACTAGAATCAGAACAATTACCACTGAAAAATCAAAACAACAACAGCAAAGTAATCCTTAAGTATATTTTTAAAATAAGCAGTAAATTATGCAATCCTGTGAGTGCAGAGGTGAAATGAAGAATTGCTTTGTTTTGCAAAAGGAAAGAGAACTTGTGCTAAATGTCAAGGAAAAGCTGACAAAACTTAGGAAAATTTCACCAATGCAAATCAGGTTATCAGAGAGATGAAGCTACTGAGGCAGGTGGAGTATATTGAGAGCAAAAACTAAGCAACTAAGCAAAAACTAACATGACTAAACAAAAACTAAGCATGAATAAGGGAGGAGTTCAAATGCAGTTTTGATTTTTCTTTGAAAAATCCTCAGTATTCTTTGCAGAGGGAGTAGAAGCTGATTTATGCGATCAATGATAGCAAACAGAGAACAAAGAAAGCCAGTGCAGGAAACAGCAAAAAGAAGAAGTAATTTAAATCTCTGAGGAAGATGGTAGAAATAAAGAAGTGGAGAATGATCAACTTCATCATGCTGTATTTTCTACATGACATGCTGTGGTAAACACAAGTTAGCAGCATCTGTTAAACTGGCAAGAATGAAATTGGTCATATATACATATATGTGTGTGTATATATATATACACACAAAGACAGAATGGACTGACAGTAAAATTTGTTAAGGAAAATACTGTGAAGAAGGATCAGCACCATGTAATTTGAGAATATTAACAGATATGAATTTCTATAGTTACAACATTTTGATAAAAATGAGCAATAAAAACAAATGAAAGAAAAGCAAAGAATATTAAGATATTTTTTGAAACAGCCTGTTTAATACTTCATTATTTTAGCAAACATTCATTAGCCAAACTAGACAATGTAACTTCAAAGGTGCACAGTACAGTTTAACAGTAACTGTAAATTTTATCAGGAGAGAAAAGTTAGTTTCAGAATTTCTGTTTGTTTGGTTTTTTTAAATGGATTAATATAATGGGACAACCAAACTCTTCATGCTATTCCTTTATTTTGGCTGACACTTCAAAAGAAGGTTGGCAAACACATCTGCCCAAGCAACTATACTCATGCAGCAATACCTGTCACCTGGGCTTCTAGGGAACACTTGATGCAGGGCATAGGTCTGACAACCTAGATACTCTAAGTCTTCACCAGAAATTCCCATGGATTGTTTTAAAAATTGTGTGTATATTGGGACACATATTGTTCTTTAAAAACAGGAAGATAAAACTCCTACTTCTTTATACAAGAGTCATCAAGAAGATCAATCTTATTCTGGACAAGAACTGTAGGAATGTCTCCAACTTCAGTCATGACTTTCTCCTTCCAGGTAGGAATTGCTTTGAAAGACTCTCTGTCAGTTGTAGAAAACACAAGAACACAAGCCTGGGCTCCTAAAAATATACAAATTAATTAAAATACAAATAAATACAAATGAACCAACAAGCATTAAAAAAGAATGGTGTATAAAGTATTTGAAACATGAGGGGTTTTTCAAGCCTTTCCCATAGAAGTGCACTTTTACCACCAGCTTGTGTCAAACCAATGGTCATAAATTCTCCAAATGAAAATATATTGCCATATTATTTTTATCGTTATGGCTACAGCTTTCTTACCTTTCAAGCTATTTCCAGCATGTTGCATATATGCAGGGGAAAGGAATACAAGGGGATGTGGAAACAATTTACTAATCCAATAGCCTTGCAAAATGCTTATTTAAGAACAGAAGAACAAAAGAACTACTCTTCTCATCCTCAATTCAAAACTCTATCTAATGTGATGTTTCTGAAAGTATGTTTCAGTATAGTGCAGAAGTTACATAAAAACAGAGTTCACCAGAAGATGCTGCAGGGCAGAGTTCTTATCAGGTAAATTATTTTAATCTTCTAATATTACTAAATACTCAGTATTTTTATTGAGAACATAAACAAGATTAAGAAACTATAATGTCTATGTAGGAGCTCTAAGAGAAAAAAAAAAAGGAAAAATGACAAAAACAGAATTTAAGCACAGAAACACCCTTTTGTATGCAGTGACTGACCATATTCAAGAGTTAGTAAAATTATGATGTCACTCATCCACTCCAAATAGAGTCTTACAACAGACTGTTCAACAGATACCAGCAGCAAAGGCACAACATAGTGTCAGACAGGAGTATAACAGCTGAAACCAGGATGTTCTCAATGAATATTTTAAATCAAGTTACTCTGTAGGAAGCTGTTTCCTAAAGCTACTTTAAAATACTGAAGAAAAGGACACTGGATTTTCTGTGTGCAATTACTGCTTTGATAACACCTATATCTTTATTTTTTAAAGTTTCCAACTGGCTGCAGAATTACTTATAAGATAGGCATACCTAGATGAATTCAGAAAAAACTTGATAGTAGTACTGGCATTTCTATTTGATTCAAGTAGAGCATGAGTTTGTCAGCTGAGTAGGTCTCAAAGATCCTCTGCAGATTATCCCATCCTCATAGACTCTGTATTTTGTCCTTTCGTAACAATACAAAGCCTATTTAATAGTAAGTATATAAAGAAATTCCTTGCCATGAGTGGATTCATGCAGGACTTTATACTTGACACTTAGTAATTTCACTTTTCTGTTCTTTGCCTCAGCTTTTTCAGCCTATGACAGAAAACACACGTTCACTATGAAATTCATGGTGGCTCCTTCAACCTTAAACTGAGATAAAATGCAAGGGCAAATGATATAATAATCCAGAAGTTCTTGTTTAATGTTTATGTTCTAACTGCTGTGGATCTCGGATGTCTTTAACAGGCTGCAAGGTCTCACTAACAGCATCCAAAAAGGACTGCCTTGCTCCAAACTGGACCAGAAGAGTCTTGCAGCCCTCCCACAATCATAGAACCACTACAGCCAAAAGTGATTGACAAGTGCAACCTAGAGCAATGCTATGAAGCCCTGAGAGAGATGAAGTCTATCTATTGTGCAACAAAACAGGGAGCCTGGGAATTTGATTAATCAGCAACTGAACAAAGGCTAATGAACAAAATGTCCATTTTCCATCAAACACCTCACAGGAGTCTACAAGTGCTAGCCAATGAAAGAGAATGCAAGCACGAAGAAGTGACCAAATACTGCTTTGAGGAACATCTGTAAGATGGAGAGAACACAAAGTGCTGCCAATGACAGCCACTTGTGTACGTGCTTGGCACATAAATGAAGTACCTAGCTAATTGGAAAATGTGTCACTTCCATTGGATAGAAACTGGTAAGATGCATGACACAATGTAAAAAATAAATTACTAAATACCTACAGAGCTTCCTTCAACTCTTTGAATTTAGGCTGCTACACTCCTCGTGTTGCCTGATCACTGGCATGCAGCTTCACTAACTGCACACAGAAAGCCACATCATAAATCCAGTGTCAGCTGCAATTTTTGTTTCTCTGCAAGGCTGAATGAATTTGGACTCTGGACAAGAAGGACTCATAAAAAGGCTCTGAAGCATTTGCTGTGTGACAATGCAGAAGCAGCTGATCCTTGAAGAACTGATAACACGCAAGGTACCAGAGAGTACGTAAGCCCTAGTGTAATCATAGTGGGACAGTGACATGTGGGAGAGGCAGAGCTTGAAGTAAGAGACAGCATCTATCTTACCTACCTGAGAAGCGTCCTCTCATTATCAGCAATAAATGGCAATGAAATCCTTGCATTTCCAAAGTAAGCTTGACCTTTTGCTTTTATATAGTAAGATGCTTGCAGACCTGATACCAAACCAAAATTGCATTCCAGGCTCTTATAACCTCCCTTGTTTTTCATGACTCAAAGTCTAGTGCAGAAGAGTCACTGTATCCAACAGCCTAAACTGTTAATATACCCATCATACTGTCTACAATGTGTATAGACAGGATGACTATTTCACAGCAGTGTGGTCAGTATGGAGGTCTTGAAGGAAGAGATCTAACTTCGCTAAGCTGGACACGATTTATGGGCAAGATTTCAAGATACTCAAGATATGTGATAAGTGAAGCCAGTAGGTGTATTTTGAAGTTCTTCTGAATATTCCGTATTTTAGTGTATCTACCCTAGTAATCAGGAGAAAAAGGCTTTGGCTTGGAACAACTGAGGACAGCAAAGCACACAAAAGACTGCAGGCTAGGAGAGTAAAAAGGAAGCTCCAAGTGAAGCAAGTACTATCTTCTGAAATTCATATGCTCAGCTAGTCACTGTAAAAATAACAATTATATATTTCCACGTGAGGATAAAATGAAGTCGGAAAAGGACTATCTTTCTCTGACAAAATGAGAATTGTCAGTTATGAGCAACAATCAGATATATTACCAAAAACCCTCCAACAATATTAGTTGCCAAAAACAATAATGAAACTCAAAAAGTCAAGATAACTATACTGCCCTGGAACTGCACAGCCTATTACTTTCTCTCTAAATGAGATAACGTTTCCATGATTTTTATACTACACTGATACATTTTTCTAAGCCATTAGGTTAATTAGACAACTGAGTGATGGGATCTTTCCCAAGACATGAATATCTCATGTTAAAAAACAAAAGGGA